TTCCGCCCCCCCCCTGGCATGACCACTGTCGTGGGCGTGGGCAACTGGTCGGCCCAGGACCGGGGGGGCATCATGCGGGGGCCCCCGCCGGGGCCCTGGATCCGCTTCTTGCGGCGCCTGCGGCGGGTGTGCAGGGTGGTGGTGGTGGACGAGCACAGGTCATCAAAGCTGTGTTGCGCCTGTCACGCCACCCTGCATGCCCACCAGTACGTGCGGGTGCGCCGAGGCGAGGAGAAGCTGGTGGACGTGTGGGACACCAAGCGGTGCACGAACAAGGGCTGCAGAGTTCATGTCGTCAACCGCGATGTGAACGGGGCGGCCAACATCCTGATGCTAACCAAGTGCTTTTTTGAAAATGCACTTCGTCCCACTGCATTTGGTGGACCCCCTGCTTCCCCTTCTCCCACCCCCCCACCCCCTCTGGTTCGCCATTAGAGGCAACCAACTGCGCCAGTCAGATCCCGCTTGCGGGAAGCAGCTGTGCAACCGGCGCAAGCCCGTTAGCGGCATATCTTCGGCTCGCGCGAAGCATACGCCCTCACCTGCCTGAAGCTCAACCCCCTTATCATGACGAGACTAAGATTACAAGCATGCATTCTCACGGGTGTCAGCCGCACGCTGCGCCACCACAAAAGCCCTTCGAGGGTTCCGGCGTGCGAGCAGCGCGGGGGCGGCCTCCCGGGTCTGGCACCCCAACATCCCCCCCTCAGAAGGAGGTGTCCAGGGCGTTGGCAATGAGCTCCGCCTGCTCCTGGGCGTGCACCGAGCCGAACCCGGTGGCCGTGGAGGCCATGGTCTTGCGTCCCGAGTACTTGATGCGCATGGGGGGCGTGCCGCCCACGCCCTGGATGCAGGTCTGCAGGCGGGGCTGGACGTGGAGGTATGCGCCCATGTTCTTGGGTTCCTCCTGGGCCCACAGCACCTCCGCGTTGGGGTAGCGCCGCAGCTCCCGCTCCACCAGGTCGAAGGGGAAGGGCGCGAGCTGTTCGATGCGCACAATGGCCACCTCGTCGGCCTTGCCCTCCTGCCGCGCCCGCTCCGTGGCCAGCTCGTAATAGAGCTTGCCGGAGCAGAAGACGACACGCTTGACCCCCGGCACTGGCTCCGGATTGGGGGAGCGGTCGGTGGCGTTCTCGTCCATGATGACGCGCTTGAAGCGCACGCCCTCGATGTACTTATCGTCGGGCTTGTCGTCGAACTCGGTGAGCGGGGAGCGCGCCAGCGGGTGGCGCAGCAGGTTCTTGGGCGAGAAGACGACCAGAGGCTTGCGGAACTGGCGGTGGATCTGGCGGCGCAGGACGTGGAAGTAGTTGGCGGGGGTGGTGCAGTTGACCACCTGCCAGTTGATGCGCTGGGTCTGGGAGCCCAGGTGCCCACCCGTGAACCACTCCTTCTCGTCGATGACGGGGGGCTGGTACGGGTCCTCGTCCACCATCTGCAGGAAGCGCTCCATGCGCGCGGAGGAGTGCTCCGGCCCCTGCCCATCGTAGCCGTGGGGCAGGAGCACGGTGAGCCCCGACTGGCGCAGCCACTTGGCCTCGCCGGAGGACATGAACTGGTCGAAAATAATCTGGGCGCCGTTGGCAAAGTCGCCGAACTGGGCCTCCCACAGGACCAGCGCATTGGGCGACTCCAGGCTGTACCCCAGCTCGAAGCCCAGGATGCCGAACTCGGAGAGGGAGGAGTTGGACACCGTGAACTGCCCTGCGCGCTGGTCCTCGTACACATGGGCCAGCGGTGTGTACTTGTCCCCGGTGGCCTGGTCGTGCACCACCGCGTGCCGGTGGCTGAAAGTCCCACGCTCCACGTCCTGCCCGCTCAGGCGCACATGGTTGCCCTCCGCCAGCAGCGTGCCAAAGGCCAGCGCCTCCGCGAACCCCCAGTCCACGCCCTGCTCCCCCGCCACCATGGCGCGTCGGTTCTCGTACACCTTGGCGATCTGGCGGTGGGGCTTGAAGCTGGCCGGCAGCGCGGTGATCACGTCGCCCACGGACTGTGAGGTGTTGTTTTGTTGGTATTTGGGGGGGTGGAAGGGGGGAACGGGGAGTGAGGCACAGGGTAGCTTAAGGAAGGGAGGGCCACCGCAGAGATACATGCAGTCGACGCTCAGGAATCAAGGGTCCCCCCCCCTCGCTCTAAAAAACCAAACCCCCCTCACCTTGAGGAGGTCAATGGGGACGCCGGTGTTGCGAATGCGCGAGTATTGGATGGGGGAGTTGAAGCCCTTCCAGTGGCTCGACAGCCAGTCGGAGAGCTTGGGCTGGTGCTCCTTGGCCCCCTCAAACGCAGCGGCCAGCTTGGCCTGCACCGTGCTCTGGATGTCGTCCACCGTCTCCTTGCTCACCGACCCCTCGGCCAGCAGGCGCTGGACGTAGAGCTGCTGCGGGTTGGCGTGGCGCTTGATGGCGGAGTACATGAGGGGCTGGGTGAACATGGGCTCGTCGATCTCGTTGTGCCCATAGCGCCTGTAGCCAATGAGGTCGATGACGACGTCGGAGCCCCAGGTCTGGCGCCACTCCGCGGCCAGCTCGCAGACGCGGACCACCGCCTCCGCGTCGTCCGCATTCACATGGAAGACGGGGGCGGAGAGGGCCTTGGCCACGTCGGTGCAGTAGGGCGAGGAGCGCGACTTGCGCGGGTCGGTGGTGAACGCCACCTGGTTGTTGACCACCACGTGGATGGTGCCGCCCACGGTGTAGTCGGGCAGGGCCGACATGTCCAGGGTCTCATACACGATGCCCTGCCCCGCAAACGCGCCGTCGCCGTGCATGAGGATGGGCAGGTTGGCGCGGCGCGAGTCGTCGGCCGAGTAGTACTGCTTGGCGCGCACCTTGCCCAGGCACACCGTATTCACCGCCTCCAGGTGGGAGGGGTTGGCCAGCAGGCTCAGGTGCACGCGCTTGCCGTGGATGGTGGGGCGGTCATAGGAGGTGCCCAGGTGGTACTTGACGTCGCCCGACCCGGTGTAGGCGCCGCCGCCCTCGCCGGGGCGCCGCCCCGCGAACTCGCTGAACACCTGCTCCATGGGCTTGCGCATGACGTTGGCCAGGATGTTCAGGCGCCCGCGGTGTGGCATGCCGATGACCACGCTGCGCGCCTCCAGCTCGGCCGCGGAGTCGATGATGGCCTTGAGCCCCGGGATCAGCGCCTCGCACCCCTCCAGCCCGAAGCGCTTGGCCGCGGTGTACTTGTTGGCCAGGAAGGACTCGAAGAGCTCGCTCCAGGACAGGCGGTCCAGGATGAGCATCTTCTTCTGGCGCGAGTACGACTCGCGCTCCGCGGTCTCGATGCGCGCGCGGATCCAGTTGCACCGCTCGCGATCGTTGATGTGCATGTACTCGTAGCCGATGGGGCCGCAGTACGTCTCACGCAGGCGCCCCAGGATCTCGCGCAGCGTGCGGATGGGCCGGTCCTCCGCCATGAACCCCTCCATGTTCCAGGTGCCCAGGAAGAACTCGCGGTCCAGATCCGCGTCCGAGAAGCCGTAGAAAGTGTGGTCCAGCTCCGCGGGGGCGGCGCGCTGGTCCAGGCCCAGCGGGTCCAGCTGCGCCGACAGGTGGCCCATCACCTGGTAGGCACGCACCAGCAGCAGCAGGCGCATTGACTCCTGGATGGACTGGGCCGACACCGCCGCCGCGGCCAGGGGGGACGCGTTCTCCCCGCGCTCAAAGGCGTCGTACGCCTCGGCCACCGCCTCGGCGGACACACCCATGTCTGTCGTTGTTGTGTGGGGGAGGAAGTTGGGGTTGGGGATACCGGGGTGTTGGAGTTTGCCAGGGTGTTGTTGTTAGAAGCAGGATGTGGGGGCACAAGCAGAGAAAGGGGATCTCCTCGGCCCGTGCCCCAGGCAGAGCACAGCACCACGGGTGAGGGATTTCCGGCACCGGGCCGGACCCAAAGGATCACGCAGCCCGGTGGGCATGCTGATTCGAACCCCCCCGCGGGAATGCCATACAGGCCCCCATTAGCCCACCCATGGACTTGAAGAAGGAGGCCCAGGTGCGGTCCACGCTCGCGGGGTCCTCCCGGTAGCGCTGCTCCAGCTCCTCCAGGTAGGTGGAGGAGGTGCCATCCAGGAAACTGTCCTTCAGCTTAGAGAGAGGCACCGGTTTGGGGTGGGCCTGTCCCGCCTCGGCGCTGGACTTGAAGTCACGTTGGACGGCAGCGAGCGTGCGGGCGACGCGGCCCGCCACCCGACGGGACGAGTGCGCCAACATGGCTGATAACTCTAAGCTGAACCCCTGCGATTCATGCGATGGGCTTGCTGTGGTCTGGGTGGGGCCAAGGCCCGGCAATTGATGAGTAAGTAGACTCACCAGGGAAGGCAAGGGCGCGACGGGCCTGCTTTCCACCCGATAATGCGTTTCCCATGCCCATGCGCAGTGTTGGGCCGGCAGAGGCTCCGGAGGGGGCCGGAACGACCACACACGCAGCACTTCTCTCTTCCAAGGCGCTGCATGGACATTGTAGCGGGTAACGGACGCGGCGCCAGGCCGTCAGCCCGCGGGAGAGCGGAGAAACAAGGTTTTCGAAGGTGATGTCTCCTGGGGACCAAACTCGAAATGGGCCTGGACAGGGGCCTGAAAAATGGTGTGCCGGGCGAATCAGCCTTGTTTATCGGTCCTTGTTCCATCCCGCTTCCTACCTGGGCCCCAGAATTTCAATCGGGCGGTGTTACCGCAAGTTTGATGTTGGGCCCGGTGGTTGCAGATCCAGCTAGCAGGGGATGGGGTGCCCAGCCGTGATAATGCCCTGACTGGGCCGCCTCAGGGGTATGACACTCCTCACACACATGTCATGCATGGGATTTGGAGATCATTACCCTTCGCCTCCCAGACATAACACAGCATTCCTCACCGTCTGCTCGCCCGCATGGAGGCTCTCGTGACTTCATCCGTCCACCCCAACCCTGCGCAGGTTCCCTGCCTGGACACTACGAGCAGAGCACCCAGCAGCTGCGACACCCAACGCCACTGTACTGTATGACTGATCACACCTTTCCCCAGACATGACTGCGAGCCCACCCCCGGCAGCGGCAGCCCCGGCCAAGGCTGATGGCGCCGGCACCCCCACCGTCACCGCCGCCGCCCCGCCCGGCACCGCCCCCGCCGACACCGCGCCCGACCCCGAGGCCGCGGCCCGGATCGCGCGCGAGGACGCCGTGCTGGCGTCCGGCGCCGACGTGGCAGGCCTGCGCGCCTTGCTGGCGTGCGCCTACACCCGCCCCTTGCCCGAGCCGGCTCGCCCCTTCTCCCACTGGGATGCGGTGCTGGCCGAGGCGCACTGGCTGGCCGTCGACTTCGCGCAGGAGCGGCTGTGGAAGGCCAGCACGGCGCTGGCCGTGGCCGCCGAGGTTGCCGGAAAGCGCGGCGAGTTTGGGCTGCGCCCGCCGCCGCCCGAGCACCGGGCCTTCCACGACGAGATCGTCGCGGCGCGCGCGGCGGCGGTCGCCGCTGCGGCCGCCGTGGCGGGTAAGCGCCTGACGGCCGCCGCGCGTGCCGAGGCCGGCGCCGGCCTGGCCCTGGACCCCACAGCCGACCCCATCTGGGCGGACCTGGCCCTGGAGGCCATCCCCCCCACGCCCCCGGGCTTCGACTACGCGCTGGTGTACTCTGTGGAGCCGGAGCTGGCGCCTGCGCTGGAGGCGACCCTGGAGAGCCGGGAGCTGGAGCGCGCCATCGAGGCGGACATGGTGTGTGCATCGCTTTGGGTTGGGGAGGGAGGGGTTTGGTGGGGATGCTGGAGGTGCTCATGATGAGGTGTCCAGGCCTGGGCAGGGCCTGGCGTCGGCTGAGCCGTGGGTCGTCCGGATGAGGGCCCCCTGTGCAGCTATTGGAACGTGCAGGGTATTCGAAATGCCACTCCGCATCGATCGCACCCTGCGACCTTCCCTACTGCCGCGCCTGGCGCCTTGTGTGTCATCCCTCGTCCAGCCATTGGCCCGGTCTCATGCACGGTCATGGAGTCAACCCCCCTCCCCCTCTACAATCTCTCATCAGGTGTGCCGCGGCTACCGCTACGAGCTGGACGCGGCGCTGAGGAGCCACTTTGCGGCGGTGGCGGAGGCCAGCAAGCGCGCCATGCGCCTGGACGCCGACCTGGCCGATGGGTGCCTGCTGGGCGACGCCGGCGACGGCGCCGATCTGGCCGACGACGGCGACCCCTACGCCCAGAAAGGAAAGCGCGGCAAGGGCGGCCGCCGCGCCGGCTACCTCCTGGACGACTTTGCGGAGCTGGGCGACGCGGAGTTCGCGGAGCGCGCGCCGCCCAAGCGCGCCGCCTCGCGGCAGTACATCGAGGACACGTACCTGCGCAAACGGCGGCGCGAGCGCTACCGCGACGTGGACGCCGACTACGACGTGGGCGCCGAGCCGGCGACGGGGCGGTACGGCACGCGCCGCGCGACGGGTGCGCTGGGCGGCGCGCGCGGCGGCGCGCCGCGCCCGGCGCC